ACACTGTCGACTGCCACAGCCCATGATGTTGCAATATTTCTGCTGGAACATTTCGTTCGTGACATGGTACCCCTAATGAGCTTCTAAGCGTTGGAGACTGCACCTTCCTTTCCGACGCTTTAAAGGCGTTACTTGATGAACTGCTGGGTTGTGCAGAGTGCAAGTAAAGCTTACTGTTCGCGAACTAACAGCACGATAGAGCGCTTCGCCTGTGCTCTTGGCAATGTGCTATCAATTTATGTCGCCTCTGATCATCAAAATTGGGACAAAGGTTTCCCTTTCTTCGGCTATGCTTTTAATACTGTAGCACAGGCTACTACTGGATTTTCGCCCTACTCTTTTTTTATATGGACGAGAACCTCCACATACAGTTGACACCATCCTTCAATATGAACCTGATCATCCAAAGCAACCTAACATGCTGGAGAATGTTGTGAACTTGCCCGCTCCTTTTCTATTGAGGACCAGTAGCAGCAGCAATACTGCCAACCTGGTGACGGTTCAGCACCAATATTTTTTTCCTGGTGCTTAGGTATAGCTTAAGGTACCCACTATTGCACCTAGCTGCTCCATAAAACTCTTTACCAAATACCTCATACCATATTACATTGTTGAGCAAACCTCCTCCATTAATTACTTAGTAGAGCCCATCTTGCTATTGACAGAGCTACACTATTTCGGCTGCAAACTTGTCCATGCCTCTCGTCTCAAGCTGTACTATGACCAAATAGTTGTCTCTTCACCCTAACTCACCAGAATGTTGCCTTTTAGGGGTGAAGCATCTTAGGGTCTAGAGTAGAGCCCATCACGCTATTGACAGAGCTACACTATTTCGGCTGCAAACTTGTCCATGTCTCTCGTCTCAAGCTGTACTATGACGAAATAGTTGTCTCTTCACCCTAACTCACCAGAATGTTGCCTTTTAGGGGTGAAGCATCTTAGGGTCTAGGCCTGTTAGTTGTCCCGCTATGGTGAAGATGCTGATGACAATGAAGAGCAAGCGCATTAGCTCATGCATATCACATGCAAGGTACCCACTACACTCAAACCTCATTATAACAAAGTCGCTTCTTACATGAAAATAAGTTTGTTAAGAAAAGTTCTTATAAAGGTCTATTCCTAACACGATATTTATTGCAAGACAATTTTTTATTTACTTTGTCATAACCAATATTTCGTTATATCTGGGTTCGTTATATCGAGGCTTGAGTGTATACCCGATGACGATGACGCTGATATCCTTGAAGTGCACATGCGAGGTACCAGATGATGATGGTGACCATGGAACATTCTCTTTCTGCCATAGATGGAAATGAACGCTAGGCCTGGGAAAGCGGCAGCAAAAAGAAAAATGCCAGGAAGCCTCTGAGTTTAGTGTGCGGGAACTTTTGAATGAGTGAGCGAGGGGTAAGCGACGAGGTCCCGAAACAGCTCCAGTTATGATTTTATCTACTGACAATGGGAAAACTTACTCGTCTTCATTCAACTCGGCTGCTAACCAGCATGTCGTGGGATCGAATCCCAGCTGCGGCGGCTGCATTTCCGATGGAGGCGGAAATGTTGTAGGCCCGTGTACTCAGATTTGGGTGCACGTTAAAGAACCCCAGGTGGTCTAAATTTCCGGAGCCCTCCACTACGGCGTCTCTCATAATCATATGGTGGTTTTGAGACGTTAAACCCCACATATAAATCAATCAAATCGTCTTCATTCAAGACCAATGAGAGGCAAAAGAATATGGAAATGTTGTGGATTCCACATAGATCCTTATTGAACCTCGTTTGGACACCGTAACATAAGATCGCAAAATCAGTGCACACCTGCCAACTCTCCCTAATTGTCCGGGAGACTTCAGAATTTTGACTTAAGTCCCGATTATATGAATACTACCTCAAATGTCCCTAAAGGTGGCCACCACAGAAGAGGCGTTTTTTTGTCATGCACTTACATCGGTCTTTCTCGCTGCCACAGTTGCAGTGCTGCAGAAAAGCACCTGCCACTACACTTCTAGTTTTTTATAACCATACCATAGAGCACCGCTAAGGATATTCTATGGGCACTGTAGTATAACACTTCTGAGCGAAAGCCGGCGACCGTGAGACACGCTCGACATCGTACTAAAGAAGACGAGGAAAAAGGTATCACTACTTTTGCGTTTGTCTTGGCCCCCACATTTTGTATGTTAGGCCCATCCCGCCTGCTCAGGCATAAATTGTGTCTGTTACGTTGTTGTGCGTGTACTTCCCCGAGTTCAGTTAGAAGGTCTATGGCGGTGTAAGCAAGGAAGTACTCGCAAGTGTCTCTGGACTGGTACACAGCTGAGTTTCCGTGATTTGTGACTTCGCAGACTAGTAGACTTCGCAGTGACTAGTATGGATTTTGTACCATGTGTACAGCGCTTCGCATGGCGGAAAGGCCGACGTAAAGGTGCAGATCGCTTCGCAGAAGCATGAGAACTGCGTTCCTGCTGAAAATGGGCAGGGAAACATAGGAAGTTTCTGCCAAAAGAGCTGGTAGGCAGTGCGATTCCTTGCTGAATGCATCTTCTCTGTATTTCTTGTGGAGGACAACTTGCCGCTAAAAGGTATACAGCTGCCGACCGTTTATTCGGACTCGATGGGAACCGCCGAAAAGTCCGAATAGTTGGGAGTCCGAAAAAACGGATTCACTCGGAAAACAAGCACTTTTATAGGCCCTATCGCCCGAAAAAACTGTCATGTCTGCTCACACGCACGCTTCCGAGACGGTTTGCTTGGAAATAGAAAATTCTCAAGCCACTTCAGACTGAGGTCGGCCGCCTTCTACCAGGCGAATTATCTCCGCTTTCTTCATCATCGTGAGCATCTTGTAGCTCCCACATTGGCCGCGTTTCTTCACTCCCGACGGCACAGCAACGGGTGGCGTCGGAGCCATTTCAGCATGCCACGGAACACGCAAGAGAGCGAGAACACAGAGAACTAGACGAACCAGGCCTAGCCGCAGAATCAGCTGACTGACACTGCTGACATACGCCAAACGCCACAGCGAACAGACTCTGTAGGTGGTTTGGCCGCTCGACTGGCTTGGAAAAAAAAAAAAAAAAGCGTCCCCACACATAGCTTTCGAGATCAGCAATGGCGATTTCTGCGTGCATTTTGACACTGGCACGACATCCATCCTTAACTAGTGCAGCATATCGGTGCTGGCAACCTAGCAAACGTATTGTTAACATCGCTGTCAGCGTGTAATGGCGTACGGCGACGCATCCGGTCAGTCAAACGGGAGTCCTAATAATCGAATGGCGCACAGTGGGGCGTCCGAATTTTCGGTCGTGAATTTACATTGGGATCAATGGGGAGAGTGACGGTGCCATGAAGATGTCCGAATAAACGGGCATGTTTGAATTTTCGGCGTTCGAATAAACGGTCGGCGACTGTAGTGATCATGTAGGAACGTTGTTTTGGAAAATGTTCCCAAAGTGCGAGAACTTGAAGCGTAATTGAAGTTTTTGCGCACACACACAAGGACACAGAAGAAGGGAACACAAGGACCAACTTGAAGCGGAACAGGTGTGGGTGTACGACAACAGACTGCCATCATCGAGGAAATAGCTGCAGATGCTGAAAACACTATGGTGGAGGCTCTGAAATGCCGTGCTTTCACAATCACTGTGAACAGAAGCAACGACAGCGCTTCGCAAATGTCGCAGTAATTCCCCCCCCCCCATATTAAAAAAAAAATGCAGAGACAGAGAGAGAGAGAGAGTTCAAGCATCTGGAGTAACACAGATTGCAGACACTGACACAATGGTGCCTCAGAGCCTTTCAAGAAGACGTAGATCCAATGACAGGGTTTACCCCGATTTTGCCAAATGCTCGCTCCTTCAATGTTCATGCAGACGACGTCAAGCGAGACCCTATAATAATGCAAGCAGATGTCTTTTGCTTTACCAAGCTGTGGTATGCAAATGGACTGCAAATCAATAAATTCTTCTCCGTCGTCTGCACTTATGCACTTAAGTAAGCAAAGCATCGAGTGGGTGGCGTTGACATGTAAATGAAACTGCAAAAGGCCACGCGGAATCTCGACCTACTAAGAACGAGCCAATCTGACAAAGGCGAACACGCTGCAATGAACCTTTCCGACAAACTACGACAGAACCGTTGTCTTGACAGTGCTACTCTGCCCCGAATATCTCTCGAGACAATTTAGAAAAATGCATTGATCTTGCCATGCTAACAATAAACGAAGTACATGAACAACCCTTTCATACTTCTCAGAAACTTCAACGTTGACATCCTGGACAATGTCTGGCTTGTACAGTATATGATGTCTTGATGCGCTCTACGATGCATTTCGTATGGCTGGAAACAACCTACAACCACCAGGGGGACGTGCATAGACCTTGTATTTGCCAACTTTAAGCTAGATTCGATTGAACCTACATTCGACCCTACATTCGACCCTACATTTCATGTACCACAAGGCAGTAATTATGAAGGCAAAATGAAATCCACAACTTAATACAACATGCCATTTATGATCAATAAACATTGAATATAATTGTACACTGCTTTGCCACTCACTTACATGCCTGTGTGGGCAATGTCACAGCTGGTTTATGGTAACACTGAACGATCCTGCTGCTTTGACCACTCATTATCATTCACTCTGTGGATATGCCGCGATTTGCTTGGTACACATGGTGACTTGCTAAGAGGTTTAATAGAATAGGCAGTGGTCAGGAGTGAGTGGCCGAGTGCAGCAACCAAGAGCTCATGCCGATGGCGATGCCTCTGAGGCGCAGAGCAATGCCGCTGAGGCCAGTCATCTTTACTACACATGCTTAAAAAATATTTGCAAAGAGCAGCATTTTCCAGTAATAATCATTTCTGCGTGACATTGCTGCTGGTGCATCAGTTGCGTATTGATCACTTCTTGAACAATTTTTATGCATAAAACGCATGGTTGAGGAGATTTCGTGGCCCAAGCGAGCTAATACATGGTGTTTATTTTTTTGCAGCTGTATAGCAGCACCTCCACAACACTGCAACAGGAGCGAGACGAAGCCCGCAAGGCCCACCAGGAAGCGCAGACGGCACTGGAGTGTGTCGAGGTGACAGATGCATGCCTTACCAGAGTCATTGTCTTGTGATCCTTAGATTTTAACAGTATTCTTGTATAGATAGCCCTTTCTTACTGTAAACAGCATCAATAACAACAGCAACAAACAAGAAACGCTCTGCAGAACACTCACTGTGAAGTGAACAGCAGTGACTTTTTGTTTTAAGTGAGAACTAGCAGACAGCAACGACAAGGAAAGCATGGGTATGCTATTAGTAGTAATTGTAACGCAAATGTGACAAAAGAAATGTGGACAGAAAGATAACTTGCCACTGGCTGTGAGCGAGCCTACAACCTTCGAATGATGCGTCCTGTGCTCTGTAAACTGAGCTTTTCAGTTTTAGCTATAAAGATGCCGACTTCATACTTTTCTTTTTAATTTTCTCCCCTGTTCTTACCAGTCAAGCCACTAAGGGAAATGAGTATTTGGGGTGTTTCTCAACTACACAGCAGTACTCGTTATCTCTCTTGCTTTCGTTACCTTTTTTGAGGACAGCTTGCTCAAAATTTTCAGATCAAGAATACTGTGTCAATTGCGCTGATCGCAGCACGTTCGTGACGAAAGTGTACCGGTCGCGCAGCGATAGCGCTAGGTAAGTGTGCAAGATCGATGATTATTGATGTGGGATAGAAAGAGGTCCCAAATATGCTTTTTTGTTAACGAAGCCACAACTCCTGGCGGCGAGGGCACTATTTGCTGCATCGAGATCCTCTTTGGCGCTCACTGGCTGCCGACGGCAGTAAACTGACGTTGGCAGCAAGATCGCAGCAATGGTGTAACGGAAAGTTGATTGCAGGAGACGCCGCTTGAGCGCGATGCGTGTACGACAGATTTTCAAAGGTGCTGTCAGGAACGCAGCGAAACTATGCGTTAAGCCGTCCGTCACCTTACGAGCACCGCCGTTAGCAACGAACTATATGTGATGACGCCATTTTAACGTTACTAGCGCTTCAGCTCATTCGCGAAGTCCAATGAGCCCCAAACAATAGGAGTTCACGGATAGAAAAGAAATGCGTGCTCACTCTAGGTTGTCCCGGAGAGATCTGACTCACTCCTGACGGCTGCGCACAAAACGTCCCGAGAGACTTTGCACACGGTGCCACAGTCGACATCCACTACCGGATGAGAGGGGTTAAATGTCACTCCCCGCTCCCCCAATGCAGCAGACCGTGAAGGAGGGGAGTCATGTCAAGACATGAGAACGGCAGAAATAGGCGGCAAAGCCCGCACAATGGCAGCGAGCTAGCCTCAATTTCCACAATCAACTGAGGCTCTTATCACAAATGCGCGAAATCTTAAGTTCTGCAAATTGACGAATATTTATGAACATCGAATATTTGAGGAATATTGGAGTTAGTTTGAATATTCAAAATTTTTTAATACAGGGAAATACCGTTGTAATGAACCTCAGATTGATTTTTCCAGATTAACGAATATTTCGAAAATCCCCCTCCCAGTGTCCATTGATTCAATGTAAAAGTATTTAACTACTACAAATTTTAGAGCAACGAATATTTCAGAATAATGAATGGAATTTGATCGCCCGGAAATCTTAAGAGCACTTCAAAATAACGAATTACTAGCGGCAGTATGCCGTATTTACCCGCATGATCTTCGCACTTTCATTACGCAAAACCGATGAGAAGTTAGAAGGGTGCAATAATTAGGTGGGGAAAGTTATCCGCGAAAACGTACAGAGCGAAAAAGAAAACGAAGTGGTCCCAAATCGGGATTCTCACCTTAACAATAACCACACCTTAACAATAAAACCACAGGTTCAACACAAAGCGATTTATTTGCACACACTAAAGCCACTGTCCACTGTTTCAAGGGCATTCGTGTGGAGATCCTTGACATAATAAAGAAGTTCCGCATTAAGCTGGGGATACTTTGCACTCAGGCCCACGAACCATCCGACGCGTGTTGGTGGCCTCCAGCTCCCCTTGCTGCCGTCGCCAGTAGCGAAAACAAAACTCGCCGACTCCCAAGTGCCTGCCGGCAATCCTATCATCGTTTCGTGCAGGGTCAACCACTTTCAACCTAAAAGCAGCCATGTAACTTCCGTATAAACACACTGCATTACCACACGCTGCACAGACTCTTTATCAACACGCCGCAACGGGTGCTTGGCACTTTGGCTTGGATTGGATTGGTGCTCCGTGCGTTGGTAGTATCTGGTAGGTGTTTTGTGGTAGTATGGATAGTTTTTAAGAGATGGTGCCAGGCTGTGCGTTATCATCAGTGGTTGAATGTAAATATTACTGCACGAGTGCGATAATCAGTACTTGCGGAAAAATAATATTGTATTTTTGTTGGCCGATTCGGGGAGGGAGGGTGCGAGAATCATGCGGGTGCGAGGATTACGGGAGTAAATATGGCAAATGCCCAGCTCCATACTATGTGGCACTATTATCATCACCAAAGCTTTCGGATCATTTCCCCATACGTTTCCCTATGCTATTGCAGCGCCTGCTATCATTTTTCGCATCCCCGTTCAGCGATTTAGCCAAGTTGAGTCTCGCCCGCTGGCTTAGCCTGTCAGTTTTTGTTCAAGCGACTGTCAATGCTGTTCGATCTGGTTCGATTGTAGTTTGACGATTAGTGTTATTGATTAGTGTCAACGCCTGGTTTAGACATGCGTTTCTACGTTCGCCGTTCGCGATGAGCACTGGGAGCAGCACGAGAAAGAAGCGGAAGCAGTTCTCTTTGCAAGAAAAAGTGGACATTATTTCACAAATAGGCACCGGTAAAAAGCAAATCCACATTGCGAAACGAGATGGGTGTCACAGGTCCCGTTAATTAGGGAGGCGATCGCCGGGCTAATTCCAAGGGCCGAAATATCGGCCCCCCGAACCGCACCACGAAAGCGTGGACAATTTAGAAGTGGTCCTATTTGGCACGCCAGCGGACGCCGGCTGTGGCCCAAAGAACAAGTCAGAGCCGAGAGTTGATAAGCAAAACAAAATTATATTCTCAATAATGGCAGATCAAAACAATACACAAGTATGCACACTCCTGCAATAGTTGAGTACAATATGTCACCAATCAAACAACGTACTACACAGTACAATCAGCCACACTCGAAACAACGGACACAGACAACAATACGCACTACAATCCAGTCGCATGCATTGAACAACCGAAACACTTAAAGGCTAAAGAGTTAGAAAACTTATTCAGTCCAAAGTTCTTGGAACAAAAGTCTGGATGATACTCTTCCGAGAATCGCTCACTCAAAGTCCAGCGTTGTTGTCGTTCCGCTGCCCCCGAAGTTTCTCTTCCAGGAAACCTCAACTGCCCCCGAAGTTTCTCTTCTAGGAAACCTCGCGTCTTCACTCGGGCACTCTCCAAGCTTCAACCTTCTTCGCCGAAACACGTCGGCTTCACACACGCAGCTGTTGCCATGCGTCTTCGCTCGATAGCGGTAGACACACGCTCTTGCCTGTAGCTCGGGCCTTCACCCCTCAGGTGGAAATCCTCTTCTTCTCCTGCTTTGTCACTACGGACAAAACCTTCGCCGACTACACGGCGGAATACCCTACGCGCTCTGGCGCTAACTTTCGTCTTCTCCTCATCTCCCATCTCGGCTGCTCGATTAAATATCTTCCGCGCGAGATTCCAGAAAGTTCTCATCATTTCGTCGGCGCGATACGCAGCGAAGGCTGGGGAGAGGGCGAGACGGTTCGAAGGCCGTCCGCGACGGATGATGCAACCCGGCATCACCACGCCCCTTTCCATCGAGAATCTTCTAGGGCCTGCTCGGCCGCCGATGTGGGGTGAGAAGGTTCGTCGGCGAACCGACGCTTCCGAGAGGAGAGGGACGCGTGCCCGGGGAGTCTTTGGATGCTTGTTTTTTCTTTTTTTTATTGTTGACCTCGCGGCGTCACTCCGGCGTTTCGTCGCGAGAATTTGGCGGCGCGCCCTTTTTTGAGCGCTCGTTTTGTGACAATGGGGGTCGCACCATCAACTGTCGCGACCATCTTGAAGGATCGACAGAAGATCATCGAGATGCACCAAGGGTCCCAACTCGCACAGTAAAAAAAAAAAAAAAACGGCTCTGACTAGGGAGCTTTCAAGACGTAGATGCTGGAGTGCTCACGCGGTTCCAAGACGCACCTTCTTAAAATGTGCCAGTGTCGGGACCCATGCTGCAGGAAAAAGCCCGGCAATTGGCTTTTGCTCTAGATATCACGGGCTTCGAAGCAAGCGCGGGGTGGCTCCATCGTTTCCGTGAGAGGAACGGAATCGCCGGGCAAGTAGTGTCAGGCGAACAAAATGCGGCAGACGCAGTGAGCGCTGCTGCAGGGAGGGATGAAAAGTTCCGTGAAATCTTCGCTTCGTACCTTGAAGATGATATTTTTAATGCGACAAGATGATATCTTCAATACGGACGAAACGGCGTTCTTCTATCGGATGCTTCCAGATAAAACGATGCATTTCAAGGGGAGCAGCTGTAAAGGTGGCAAGCAATCCAAAGTCCATATTTCAGTGTTGTTCTGCTGCAATGCCACAGGCACAAAGAAGTTGAAACCGTTGTTTATTGGTAAATATAAGAGGCCTCGGTCCATGAAGATTGTTGTGTCATCGCTGTGCATTCATTGGGCTAATTCACGCGCATGCATGACGCGAGAGCTCTTTTCTGAGTGGCTAATGAAGGTGGACGACGAGATGAGGCGAGCAGGCAAGAAAATATGAATTATCGCTGACAACTGCTCGGCGCATCTTGTGAATGTTAGGCTGACTAATATGCAGCTAGAATTCTTGCCGCCCAACTGCACTTCGTTGCTATAGCCACTCGACCAAGGCGTCATAAGAAGCGTCTAGGCCCGCAAACGCTTCGTTCAGTGATTGCTGATTAATCTTCGGCCGAAGCTGCCTACTTCAATCAGTGTGCGACAAGCCGCAGAAATGGTTGCCGGGGCTTGGTGGAATGTTACCGCAACCACCATCCAGAACTTCTGGAAGAAGGCAGGCCCAGTATTGATTCCACATGAAGTTGGCTCCGAAGAAGCCAGTGAAGAAAGCGACGCGGGCAGCATGTGGCAAGAAATTGCTGAAAGACTGGCGATTTATGCCTCGGTGACGTTTGAGGACTTTGTGGAGTGCGACAGTGAAGCGTACACGTCAGCCGAACTGATGATCGATGACATCGTCAGCGCCGTTCATAGTGACGAGGACTCCAGTGACGAGGATGCCAATGGCGAAGATGACTCTTAGACCCTCGCCCGTGTGCCAGCCTGAAGAATGTCTTTCCAATGCCGACATCATGGAATGCTTTCGAAAGATGTGCACCTATCTTGGCAGGTGCAGCAATGCCACCGACCAAGAGCATAAGAATGTGGACAGCTTAGAAGCGTTCGTGCTGCAGCAGTTAAGCGGAACCCGCCAGGCCAAGATCACCGACTTTTTCAGGAAATAAACGTGGGCTTATTCCGGGATATTTCGCATTTTGTGTCCTTTCTCAATTGTCATAGAAGCATGCGTTTGCGTATATGCACCTAGCAAAGGTAGGTAGGTGACTTTTGTTGCGTTTGAGTTTTTTTGGGCCAATTTTCGGTGTTTTCACTGTAAGGATGTTTCAAAATAATGAACGATTTTCCGCGGTCTCTTCAAATGCGTTGTATTGAGATTTCACTGTATATGGTTATCGAATCAAATACGAATATTACAAACGCAATACTCAGGGAATATTTGAAACTTTCGAATACTCACACACCCTTCCATTAAAGCCGAGCGGTGAGCTCCAGAAATGTGCCTTTACGGATAAGTATTCATCAAAGTGTCAAAACTGCCTTTCTGTTGTAAATATGGTCTCCTTCAAATGATCGGAAGCTTATGCCCCGTATTTTTATCCTGATTTCTCATACTTGTATTGACTCAGGCTGTGTTAAGAGCTTTATTAGCGGTTCAAGGAGGTTTTGCTTATCAGCAGCGTGGTAGCGTGAGGCATTGTCCAGCAAGTTAGCTGTGCAGAAGCCTATACTCTGTTTCATACATCAGGTGCAACGCTTTGGAAGTTAGCGAGACTTGGAAGCTAGCATTGGCACTAAGAAATAGCACGCTCATTTTTTCATCCAAAACATGGCTTCTTTTCCTGTTTGAGCTTAGTAATAAATGAAGAGGCTTTGTGCGTCAGAAATAAGGACACCCTGTTTAAGGCTGTCAATTGGATGTTCTGAATCACTTAGCGTCTCTTTCTTTTCATCTCTTGAGGTTTATTTGTAGTCGTTCGTGATGCTGTGCGTGTGCGCGTTTGTGCTCGTCTCGCACGAGCATTTACAATAATTAAAACCAAGTGCGAGATGTGCATAACACATATTGCTCACCGAACTTCTTGCATAGCTCCTACTGCATTGTACCTGAGGTATGAAACCGAGTGTAGTGAGTCGAGCATTGGCAATGCTGCCAGATGGAGGCATATCTTTTTTGCTTATTGTGCACATGGGCATTTCTTGAAAGTGTTGCTAACCTGAGGATTTGTGTTGTCATGACTCCGATGCTGCATCGCTTCAATTTCAGTGGTGAAGAACTTGACTGATGGCAGATAATTAATGAGCTAATTAGCGTGTTGAGGTAATCAACAACAACAATAATAATAATAATAATCCAGGGTCATGTCAAAACCATGAAGTATTATTGAGGCACGCCATAGGGGAGGGCTCCTGAAATTTTGACTATAGGTGCTCTTCATCGCATGCAGCCTTTTAGCATTTCACCTCCATTAAAATGTAACTGCCTCTGTTGGAATCGCACCACCTGCAAATAAGGCAATCATGAAGGTTACAATGATTCTGCATTCATTGCTTCACACTTGAGTCAACTGTTGCTGTGCTTCCAAATGCAGGCTTCTATGAAGCAGTACCAGGCATTTGTTAAAGAGCACCAGGAGGAGGAAACCCAAGCTGAGTCCAAGTAAGGGCAGCATTTTCTGCACTGGTTCTCTGAAATATGCATATTTAAAAGGAAAAACATTTTACGAGCATAAACTTCAAATGCTGAGCTAAGAACAAGCAGGTGGTCCTGGTTGCTATATTTTATTTTGATGAAATAAAATTTGGATTAAAAAAAATCATTCGAAAGTTAGCCTATGCTGGCAGAAAAATTTGTTTACCAAAGAAAGAAGTACAGTTCAGACCGTTTGTAACGTAATCGCTTGCAATGCAAATCATAGAAGCAGAAGAGATTTTCACTGCTTTAGCTATAAAAGAAGGCATGGAGCACAACGCTCCGCTGACTATTATCACAGATTCTCAGGTCGCATGTAGAAATTATCAGAAAGGAAAAATTGGCACCAAGGCACACCGAATACTCACCCTACTTTAAAGTAGCAAAGAGCTGGACAAAAACTGTGCCTGGATGCTCACTTAGGCCCTGGGACACGAGGGTGCTATTGGGAACCTCTATGCAGATAAGGCAGTTTGAGGTTCCGCTAATTATTGAGTTGCCGATGGCAACACTGTGGAGGACCCAATACCGATCGATCCCTGTTACAGAGCGATCCTGAAATACTATAGAGATTTGCGGAGACATTACTGAGCACCACTCAGGAACCTTTCAGCCATGGATTCTGTGACATTACGCAGACACCAAACTAACACGTATATAAACATCCACAGATTGCATACAGCATACAAGGCATCCCTGCAGCATATAAAGACATATTCCCGCGATGTGGTAGCACACCGACGCTCTGCCACATCACGATGTATGGCACACACCGAATAACAGAAAGGGGATAACAGCAGAGAGAGGTAGGAGGCAATGCTGTCCAGTCCGGCCTTTGAGGATCAGCTGAGGCTAGTCAGGAGGGCTGAAAGGATGGTAGAGCTAGTGGTGCCTTGGAATAGGGGCCCGATTACGCGGCGTTGCCCCGTTTTAGCAGCAATGAAGTCTTTCCCGCACATAAAGTTCTGTTAGTTTACCCTTTCATAAAACTCCATCTATACGCATACTGTTTATTGTGTAGTCCCCTGAGATGAAAGACCGATTATAATGTGGCTGCTGGAAAATTGTCTGAGAAACGAGGGAAGGTGTGTATTTCTCAGTGGAGCTGCGAAGGAGAGGTTGCAAAGCAATTAACGGAGAGGGTGATTAAAAAAACAAAAATAAGGAAGTAAAGGACAGGGGCGTAGGGTAGAAGTGTGATGTAGATGGTTAGTGTGAGGAGGGGGAGTGGTTGCTGAGGTCACTGAGCAGTCTTTGCCTCCATTTGGTTTGGTTTCGGAAAACTTTATTGTGAAAGTCGGAAGGCGTGCGCCCTAGCACACGGCGGGCAGCTCCCACGGTGGGACAGTAAAGCCGAGACCAGTGGAGTGACATGTCCATAGAGCTGATGGGGACAGCAATTTGGAAGCGACGGTAGCGCCATCTGGGTTTTGTAGGGAATCTTAAAAAGATTGCAAAATGACTATTTTACTAATAAGTGAAAAAGGTTTCGTTACCTTCTACACATAAATATATTTTTGAACCAAATATAACTAAGAGTAATGTTTGTATAATTTATAATTGCATATAAAATGAAATAGGTTTTAAAAGCACTAGGGTGTTTCGATATTGCGGCTGGCCTTCCACATAGTAGACGACATCGTCGTCGTCTGCTTCTACGTCATGGCTGAGCCCCGCTCGTTGTAGCAGCTCTTTTTCTCGATTTCTATCGTTTCCACATAGTACATTGCAGTAAACTGTGCACTATAAGCTCATAAGTATCTTGCATATTTACTTAGTAAGTTGTGATGCTGCATACAGGCCGAGTGAAATGACAACGCTGGTCACACAAGCTTGCAACAATAAATTGTTTTATCGCAAGTCAATCGATCAATATTTACACAAAATAAAGGCCACGTAAGTAACATTTTAGCATGCACAGCAGTGAAAAATATGCATGCATCAGCGTTCATGAGCAAAAAAAGTATACGTACTACGCATAGCCCTAACGCAGATGCCCGGAGCACAGAAGCTGTCAAGCGCTGACTGATATATCCATCGCACTGCACGAAACCTTTGCTGCAGTAATTAAAGGCATACCGCTTACGTCCGTGCACTTGTGTAGCTCAAGATTTCGCAACAACTCGTCGACAGTATTCGGTAAACTTTCTGTAATTGGTATCCAAATACTTGCAGTGCGACGAGACTGTTTGTTTTTGGTTTGCACTGCCAACTAAGGTGCGTCACTTTCCAATTTTCTATGGGTTCGCACTTTGCATGCTTCTGAATGCCTGAAATTAATTGAGGAACGGTTTTTTATGCTTACCATTCCGAAGTCTTACAAATAAAATCGTTGGAAAAAAGGCTTCGTTGGGTTTCATTTACCTACGCACCCAGGTGTGCTGTCGTCGTTTTGATGGTGGCGACTCCTCACGCTGTGGCCGCGAAGCTCGCAACATGCCACGGGCCTGCCGAGACCTAGCATCGCATCTTTGGCCCTCTGGACAGACCAAAGTTGCGATGTTATGTCCGGACTCCAGAGAGCGGAGTCCCGCTTTCTGGACGCTGCTGTATCAATGCCGCGTACCGAAGGGCACTCCCAGAGCATGTGATGTAAGGTGGCTAAATCGCCACATTTTGTACGCAAGTTGGTTAAATAAACTTCAGTGTAAAGCTTGAGGAGAAACGCAGAGTTAGAGTACGTTTCTGTTTGAAGTAATCGCAATGTAAGTGCCTGCACTCTATTTAGCTTTCTATGTAGAAGTGGGAAGATTATCTTATCCATAGCAAAATGGTGGGCAATTTCATTTTATGTAGTTGACGGATCCCCGTATACGAAATCTCCAGTTCGACACAAAGGTCCTTCATGGCCGCAGACAGCTAACCCTCGTGCCCTGGAGTGGGCCAACTCATTGAGATTGGTAATCCCTCCGTTCATGTTTCTCATATGAGCCGGGAACCATGTAAGAGTATGGGCTGTAAGCGACTTCTCACAGAGTATGTTTTTGGCTTCTTTGCACACAGCTCCAACACTGAGGGCACGAATGGCAGCTCTAGAGTCGCTAAATAAATATATGTTCATGACGCTTATCTAAAAAAGCCAAGGCGATGGCAACCTGCTCAGCTGCATTGGCAGTTCTGGTGCATACCGATGCCGCATTAATTGTAATTCCTTTGTGGTTGATTACCACTACCGTGAATCGGTCTCTCTGGTCATCATATTGCGCCGCCTCTACGAAACAGGCACCCCTGTCGGGATCCACAACTTGGCAGAGAAGAGCCTGAGCGCGCGTTTGCCCGCATGCTTTGCTTTCTTTTGCTTCGGCCGCTTTTCGGGCGCACACTTCGCTTCGAACGGGTACTTGGATTTGCTTCAAGTGCATGTTACCGCTGTTTGGCTTTCGGTTTTCTGTTGGGAGTGTAGTTGTGCCGTCGCTGATTGCCGATAACTAGCATGGGGCCTTTGCCACCAGCTGGCAAACTTACAAGTGTGGTAGACAGTTTTCGCAGCTGTTCTCATGACCGCAAACTTAAACTTCGCTTCACGCTTTCTGCCCTTGGTTTAGCTCGTGAGTGTGATCCCCTCTATGCCCAGTCTCCATGTTGTCTTTGGCAAGCTCTCTGCAATAGCAAGCCATGTTGCAACCCTCACGCCAGTTCTGACTAGTGCTAGCTGCCTTGTCGACAGTGGCTGTAGATGATCAGAGTTGCACTTTGGTACTGAATCAACAAAAGATTGCACTTCTTGCATTCGAAAGGAGTGATCAACTTGCATGTTGAATGAAAATGAGGACCTGCATGTGTAATCCTCGAATGTTGGTTTGTGGTTGCCACTGTTCCTGACATCGCACACACATCTGGAAAATTAAAAGCAACTGGAATCGCACTTCCCTTGCGACGCATAGTTTCTGCACAGTGTGGTATTATGGTGAAGTTTGGGTAAGTGAGGAGTTCTGGAAAGTTAGCAACTTTCTGCTGTGGCACTTATCATTGCAGTTACAGTGTAGGAGACCACTTATAATGTAACCACTTATAGTGCGGGACCTGGTTCTCGACTTCCTTTTACTTTCCCAAATAGTGCCATGTATACTCATGACAGTTACTGTGCCCCCCCCCCCAAGAAAGAAGACTGGTTATAATGCTGTCGCCGCAAAATTATTCTGACAAACGGGGCACTCACTGTGCTTCTCAAAATGGTGCACCGCAGGAGAGAGTGTGACAGGGTCGTCATGGAGAACGAGATGAGGCAGAGTGAACGAACGAGAGCCTAAGAGAGGAGAAAAGCACTGCGTGGGCAGGCTGAAAGAAGAAGGAGGGCAGTTGTCTAGGAGATGTGGAATCCTTTGCACTGTGTGGCCAGCGCAGCCATGGTGGCGCAGCGCTAGCGGTGCACCATTTTGAGAAGCAGCAGCAACAGCCATTGAACCTTGCTGCGATGGATGTCGTTGTTGAGTCGTTGTTGAGCACAGCACTCTGCCACTTCGAGCGTTTTGCGGCAGGCAGTTGAAAGTCGCGTCAGTGCTGCAGCTCAAATGGTGTGCACCATTTAGGCATCCGGCAAGATCGCATGCATGTGGCAATTGCTTGAACTTTCCGTCACAGCGACCTTGGTGGGCGTGTAAAGCTCATGCAGCAGAATGAAACACTGAAACTACAACCGTGTGAGTGAGGTGTAGTTTAGCAAAAATGGAACTCTTGAAACACTCGTGCCATTCCCCATAGTAATGCCAAGTGATTTTTTTTCCATTAATTAAAAAAAAAAGGACAAGCAGCATTTTATTACATGTCGTAATGCGTGGAAGGTTTTTTTAGCACGAAAGTGTTTTATGCCGGGGTCCACCACTGCTTCGCAGATGCATTTCCGTCACGGATATGACATTGTGAAATATATTTGAACAGATTGCGAAGAAAAAAATTGGTTCCAAATCTGCATGTTACGCTGCAAATGTCGTTGAAAGACGATAGTCTTGCGTCTGAAGAGAGTGAAC